ATTGTTGAGCATTGTATTTAACTTACTTACACATTATGAACATTTTTATTTGAGGCTTTTAGAACCCACACATTAATCCCTTAAATGCCACTCTCTGAGTATATTACCCCTTAAGCAGTGGCGGCTGGTGACAAAAAATCTTGGTGGGGCTGGTGTGCCAATAGATTTCCTTTCCTAACCCAGTACATGCATTCAAGTTAAAAGTCATAAAATTACTACAATTCCACAATAATGATTTAATTCCCTTATCAGATTCAGCAGTTTACATATACAGTTAACCATTTAAAGCTATATTAGGTCTTATTTTGGAAAGGAACAGTATGAAATACAACACTCAATTTCACTATTTGTCACCAAACACACAAAGTAAGCACACAGGTGGTTAGCTTAACACGGTTATCTTAACACAGTTTTCCATATGAACTCGTGATGTTTCATGTTTCTTAATTGTTCAGAGAGGTGTTTTAAGTCTGTCTGTCCACACTGTGTCCACGTCAAATCACTCCGGTCACTTTTAAAAAGGATGCAGGAAAAACATAACAGTGCGTTGGCCGTCCCACCGGCTGTCAGCCAGGACTTACGCTGGAACCAGCTCCTGCTAAAGGCCGGCTGTAGGACTTAGCTTTTTCATTGGTTCGCTGCGTTAAATTTATTTCGGGCTGTCACGTCCCAGCTCCTTTACATTTAATTTTTCCACCATTGTCCTTCTCACGAAAGGAGAACTCAGGCGCTTGGGGTTAGCGCCCCAGAAGAGAAACGATACGTTCTGTGGGTGTAAATGCACTGTTGAATGAGTCAACTGGTGGAAGTGTTGTTTTAATAATTCATATTGCATGTAACCACATAGTATTAAGTAAAACTGACATTGATTATACTTTTAAAATATATATATATATATAAATATATATATTATGACTTTCCCCCTCCACATCTAGGGGGGGCGGCGCCCGAGCGCCCCCTATGGGCAGGCCGCCACTGCCCTTAAGTGATATTCAGGGGCTGTTGAAACTCAAAGACTCTGGAAAATGAATAGTTTAAAACATTCTTGTTAACTTAAATGAGCTTTTATTGTCAAATTAACAATAAAAGCAGGTCTACAAGAACTTCCAAAGGATAAAGCAGCAAAAGTCCTAACCCCTTGAGGAAGTCCAGCCTCTTCCGGCTCATTCCTGATAAACCTTTACTCTGTAGTTCACTGGTTGCGACCAGCAGATGGCACTGCTATTGCGTTATAAGAGAAAAAGAGTCTAAACCTCTTGATTATACAGTACATTCCAAAGTCTTGGAAGCTGTTACCAGATTGAATTGTTACTAAATTCAAACTTTGTTATTAGCTGTTATAAATTGTAGCAGCACATGAAAATGGTGATGATTTTCTAACATACAGGGCTGTGTGTGTGTGTGTGTGTCTCCTTCTTACACTGCATCCCTCTTTTTGTGGAGGCGGTGCTGGAGCGTTTGATGCGGGGCGTGAAGTCCAGCGCGCTGAGGACCATGTGCCTGCAGGTGGCCATCGCCGCTCTGTACTACAACCCGGCCAGAGAGTACTGGGATGAAGACTGCTTCGAGGGGACGCCCCTGGAGGAGTACAGCACATCCCTGGACTACGACAACAGAGAGGACGAGTACCAGTTCTTCACGGCCGCCCTTCTTAGTGAGTCACGGTGGAACCACGTTTAACCGTTAAAGAGAAGAAGTGCCTCGCTTAAATGAGCCTTCCCCCTGTCAGAAGACTGTACTTTAATGATAAAGTTTAACTTTTGTAGGACCCCCAAATGAGTATCTTAGAAGGTTCATACTATATGTTATGGTGAGAACTGCTTTAATATCAGAGGGAAGGGCCCATGACTCGGTTTAGTAGTATTTCACATTTGGTCCAGGCCCAAAAAATTTAAATAAAAATATTTTTATCAGTTCATTTCACATTTTTCCCCAACAGCACTCCACAATGATGAGCCAAAAAAACATAATCTTTTTTAGATAAAAAAGAAATTATTTCAGCCTGACCAAAGGCTTTAGCTGCTTTTTTTGCCCTAGAAATTTGCCACGTTCTCACAAAAGCCAGAGGTTTCCGAATAATTCCTCAAATCTCGTCATTTGGTCTAAAGTTGACACAAGATGCCATCGTTTTCCCTCCAATTTCAACTGGTCATGAGAGCTGGAAGTATGTTAGAAAGTGGCTGGAGACCACTCTACAGAGTTAGACTCATTCACGTGTCTTCCACAGACATCAGTGGATTTCCTAATTGGGAGAAGTGAGGAAACCTGTGGTTGTGATGTGTTTGTGACAGGGATCCAGAACACTGACGCAGTGTGGTATCAGTGTTTGACAGCCCCGCTCAGCGACGACCAGAAAAAGCAGCTCCAGGAGATCTACAGCATCTGTCAGCAAAGGAGGAGCACAGCTGCCAAGGGCCGCTGAAGAGGTGGGAGAAGGGAGGGGGGGGACACTGTTTCAGAGTTCCAGGCAAAAGCAGAAAAAAAAAGAGTTTGATCCACTACACTCAAATGTATTCTGCATTTATTTTGATATAGCAAAAATACTCATAGCAATCCATGTAATTTTACATTCGATCTCACAACGTTGAGATCGACTTATAATACAAAACTTCTAACAGCTGCTCCAGCGCAGCATGCTGACATCTGTCTCAATTCAACGATGCAAAAGTCGGATGGGACTCCATGTGAATTCTACTGTTGGCTAGTCATGCAAAAGATTGAATCTGACCCACAAATGGGTCAAATAAAAAGGTGATTGTCCACATGTGACATGCAGACCGATGCAGCCAGACTGACCAGAGTGTCCCTTTCCCCCTGTGTGATTTCAGAGGCTGAGGAGGTACAACGAATGTGCAGTCCATTTTTATAGATAAAAAAAAAGAAGAGAGAGAGAGAGAGAAAAAAGGTGGGAGGCTACGGCGAGAGAAGCTGGTCTGGCGCCATCGGAACTGGACCTCTGCCCGGATCAGGCCAATTCAGGTTCCGAGGAGCTCACCGAATCCAGGGTGTGGTCAGGAGGCGGGGGCAGTGGCTGGGGGTGTGCACGCCTCACAGCAGCCGAGGACCTGGTGCACTTTACAGGGTCCCTACTTTAATGTTCATTTTACAAGGGCAGGACCGCCGGCCTGTTTGTGTGTGTGTGTGTGTGTCTGTTTGTGTGTGTGTGTGTCTGTGAACATGAGCGCGTGTGCATTGTAATTATAAATAACAATGTCTCTGACCAGCAAATAAAAGCAGGATTTTTAAAGGGATCTTTTTGACAGAGTTGTGGGCTCTGCATTAAGAATAAGTAAACAAAGCAGTTTTAGTTTGTCTAACAGATTCAGAGACTAAAAGATGCAAAGAATGAAAAGCAAACGTATCATACGGTTAAAGATAAAAGGCCACTTTTTTTCCAATCTGCAGAAATACATATTCAATTATATTATATCATGATTACAATCATATCATAACTCCTGAATTTTGCATTCAGTGTTAGGGTTACATGCACAGTTCTGATTATATTTTTTGGAGGTAAAAGTGACAGTCTTTGTCTGACCTGGACTCTGTTTTAAATAAGCAAGCACCACAATGGGCTGGTCGGGGCTAGCCGGGGCAGTAGTCATGGCAACTCTCACAATCTTCTCAGGGAACTCGTGTCAGAGATATTCAAAGCGTATTCAAACTCCACGAGTGCGTCTCCACAGGGTCTCAGCAGAAAAGCGACAGAGCAGCGTCCAGTTCATTTCACGGGAAACAAAGTCAGTTGACCTTTAAGTCGGAAACAATAGGTTCTTCTAGATTGTCCTGGCATCCCCTGTGGGTATTATCTCTCAGGTTTTTTTTTTTTAATGGAGGAATTGGAATTCAGGGGGGCTGCTTAGAAAACTTTCATGAAGGCACATGTCATCTCTGCAAGCTGGAAATGAGCAAAAAGATCGTGGGAGGAAACAGATCCTGGCACAATGCACTGCTGAGGAGATAAAAAAACCAAACCAAAACAGACAAACAGGGGAAGATAGATAAAAACACGGAGGACAACAAAAGGGAGGCTACTGCCAGAAAACACACAGCTAAAGTTTTAAAAATACATTTAGGATTTATTTGACAGTGGAAGTTGTATTTTGTATTGTTGATAAAAAATCAACACCCATAATTAAAGGAATTTCCTTAGAATGTAATAACATGAAGCAACCCCTCTTTCAATGAGTGGCCTTAGATATTTGGCATGCTGCTAATTTACTCCAGAGTCTCTTTTATTCTCCAAGCAGGTCTTTTTTGACTTTTTTAAACTTTACTGACATTAGAATGATCACAGCTCCGGACAAACAATTTGAATATAAATAAAAGACGCACTGCTAAACGTTGAGGGCAACACACTTCTCAATGTCAGCACTGTAATGATCTAAAAGGCAACAGCTCTGAGATCAATTATGCGTCTATTACAAGTAAAAAAGAAAAGTGTATTGTTTTTAAAAAGTGGGCCAAATGTATAGGAATAAGAAAA